CTATACCACATTATTATCTATATATTATATATCAAATGCAAGGATTATTGTATTATTATAGCTGTTCTTGCTAAATGAGGATACATGAAGTTAGGAACTTTTTCTTCCTGCTGCAAAACCTAAACCTCTCTCAGTACATCAAGGACACCTAGACTGTTAAACGTATTTCTGCCCACGCCCCCCACCCTCAACACATACACACACCAAAGCCTAACATTTAGGTAAGATTCAATGTCTCCTTGCTATGGTTCACGGCACTTTGCGGGTAAGGTAATATCATTTACTGCAGATAAAGCCCATTGTGTTGATGCAGCACACTGATAAAATATGCACACAGGCAAGTTATAAAAAAAATTAATTCCCTGGCAACAACAACAACAACAACAACAAGATTCCATTTCTAGAGCGTCTTTCACGTCGGGAGGACGTCCCAAGGCGCTGGACAGTTGGGTCAGGACCCGAGCCGGGGGGGGGGGAAATGGTCAGGGTGAGGGGAGGGAAGGGAGGGAGTGAGGAGGGGGTAGAGAGTCGAGAGGCAATTCAGGTCACGTGTTCAGTTTCATCTGGAAAAATCTGGCTGCTAAAAGTTTATCACTGAGCAGTTTGATGATTTTTTTTCAGAAATATACTATGTAAATTTCTGTTCAAAATGCGTCATGGATTCTGAATTCTCTTGATGCATTGTAAACACAATCTATTGATCTTGAATCAACATAATAAAATACAATTCATCTGTTTAAAAAAAGATGTCTCCCCGTTGAGTAGATGTAGCACTGACCAGCCTTTAGACATGAAACATTAATTCAAGGAACATATTAAGCACATTTGCAATTCCTTAAAGGAAAGTTTACATGTAGGTTTGAGGCACAAGAGTACTTACAAAATATAGCACACTCTTTGGGTGGGCATTGTCCCAGTGGCTTGAGATACCCTCCCGATGTGAAAGGCGCTATACAAATATAATTTTGTATTGTGGTATTAAAACCACAATCTGTCATCAGCAGTGCAATATCTGCAATATCAACATGGCTCAGGAACTAGGAACCAATACAGAGGGTTGACTTGATTCTGAAATTCTGTTGTGAAGCACATCTCCGTTCCAAGGCAACGCCCTTTGCAAATTCAAAATAGGAAGCTGCCAAAATATTCATGGGATAAAGCACTTGATGACTTACATGATACAGCACTTAAATTAACATGTGCTGAGAGCAATCACTCAAAGCCTAAATTCAGTTCATGATAAAGCATTTCCAGTTTACAATCATTTAGAACAAGGCTAAATTCCAGGATTCGGTGTTTACTCTGCAGCATTTAAATCAAGTTGACACATGAAAACAGATGCTTTCTTATATAAAAGTTATAACAGAGCTGGAAGCATCTTGAATTTGTAAAGTGAACCTTTCTATTATAATGTGAATAAAATTGACATAATGAATTTTTGAGTAATACTAACTAAAACAAATCACAAGTATTGTTGGAATTTGAAAGTAGCAATTGCTTTTCATACATGTCAGAAATAATCACATTTTGTTGTAAATTACAAATCACATTGCAGTTTTCAATGGAAACAGACTTAGTGGCAATTACTACCCCCAAGTCATTTGAATTTGCTAAACTGCACAACTATGTAATAATTTCAGTCAAGGCCACAACTCCAAGAAGACCCAACGTACTTCACTTTCTTCCCACCCAACATGAGGCATTATTTCTTACAACTCAAGATGAAGAAGACAGAAGCCATTCTCCTCGGCTCCCACCAACATCTGCACTCTTATCTCAAGCAAGAGCCAACTGCCCCATCTGACACTCAAAGCCATCAAAATATTTATTCACACCTTTACAACCTCCCTTTTAAGCTTGTCTAATAAAGTCCTTGTTGGTCTCCCTAGCTCCACCATTCATAAGCTCAAACACAATGAAAACTACACTACCCACTTCTCACCGCACACCCATCACCCCAGTTCCCTATAGATCGATTTCAAGGTATTCTTCCTTAGTTAGAAATACTTCCCCCATCTTAGCACCTCCATGATCTTCTCCTACCCCACTCCTCTGCTCATCTCTCCTCTTGGCAAATTTGGCCTTGCAGCATATTCCCACCCATTCCACACCACCGTTGATAACCAAGCTTTCTGGTTCTACACTCCTAACCTCTCGAACTCCTTCCCCCTCACCCTCTCTCTAGCTGTCCAAGTCCAATCTTAAAACCTCTCTCTTCAAACAAGTCTATGGCCACCTCCTCCTTTTTCTGCTTGGCATCTAACCCAGTCTTTATAAAATATGTTGTATGAATGCAAGTTGTTGTTTCATCATTTCTCAAACTTTTTTTTGATGATCACATCGAAGGTAAAATAGCACATGTAAAAGAATGGCTAACAACATTCTTGAAAATGGGGCAATACACCAAACATATGTTCTAGGTCTTAAGCGCTCCAAGATGCTACCCTGTGTGAAGGGCACTGGATAAACCCAAGTTGTTTTTGCTGTTGTTAAAATGGGTAGTGTTAATTGTAAAAACATCTTATCTGAAGAATGCTACGAAAATTTCAGTTAAACACAAAAGGTAAAATTGAATTCATCTTCAGTTGAGGTCCATTTTACCTGTGCATAGAATCTAAATTAATACAATTACACACATAAAATTGCTTTATTTACTGAACTTTTCTCATTTGGCACTTTTGATGCCCTCAAATAAAATGTTCAACATGATTCAGTTAAGGCAAATCATCTCTAAATCCTATATAATAGATAAGTCCACTCATTGGCTTGCAGATCCACCAATCTTACTACAGCTGCAAGGGGGAGCAATCTTGCTGTTTTTCCAGTTGAAACGCTCACATGATCAGGTTACACCTGCTGCACTAATCCCAGTTGACACAAGGAATGAAAATGGAAGACAATTCTAGCCTTAGGTACTTCCACAGGTAGAATTCTGAAATTTGTTTCATATTTCGGTGGAGAAAAACACAGAAGCCAAGAGGCATTTTCACTGAGACACATAAGTGATTAATAAATGCAAGCATTCATACTTCAGTTAATCCACTTAAAGGGATTGTCACACAACATGTCCAAATAACATATAAGCAGCACAAATGTAATTTGTCAGTTTCCTGACTGAGCAGGACTTTGCAGATTTTTTTAAACCCATGATAAATTATAAAATTTCATGCTGGGTTTAAAAGGTATTCCCTGCTGCACTGTGCATTATATCCAAGTGGAGATGATAACACTTGAACACTGCACTGCCCCCATCCACCTTCATTCAAAAACTCACTGTTTCTGGGTTGAGTGGAACCCAAGCATAAATTCTACTCACTTATTTTGAAGAGCTCCTCTGACTAGCCTCTGGTATATTCTGCTATTCACAACTGCCCCAATAACTTACCACTCATTTCTTAATATATAGCCAATTCCTATAGAGATTTACAATTCACTTTACCCAGACGCACTTTTGTGCTGAACCCCAATCAAATGTTTCTGAAAGTCAAAAGACACAAATATGCCTTCTCTCTACTTTACAGTTCAAATACAAAACTAATTTAGGCACAGCCCACTATTCATAATTTCTGTTGTCATGAAAGAAACAATTCAATGATCATTTTACAAAAGCAAGATTGTAATCCTAATATTTGCATAGATTTGTATAGATTTACCTCCTTAACTCCTTTTAAATACATTAGACACCAGTACTTTCTATTAACCCAAGATGACAAGCTTATATTTTTGAAAATTATTTATACATGTGGAACTATTTTCAATCTTCTCACATCATCCAGAGCTCAATGAACTGCAAACAAATATCTTCCATGTCACCCCTACTTCTACCCTAGTGGAGTCCTGTAGCTCAGTGGTTAGAGCACTCGCTTTGCAAGTGAGAGACCTGAGTTCAATTCCAGGCAGAGGGCGAAACCTTGGGCAAGTTTCCTTACTCCACACAGAGCCTAATAATAATCCCTCCAAAACAAAAAACAATAATAAAATTGGTCATTTTCAATCTACGACTGTTTGTGGGACATTGCTGTGCGCAATTGGCTGCCGCATTCGCCCACAAATATACAGTCAATTCACTTTACAGTGTGTTCTGTGAAGCGCTTTGGAACGTCCTCCCGACGTGAAAAGCGCTATATCAAATGCAAGGATTATTATTATTATTATTACCCTCATTTGATTCAGTATTTAGCATTTAATATATTCTATTGGGTTAGATACCTTATCAATATTCATTTCTACCTTTTGCTATCATTTTCCCCTAATGTGCTGAAAAATTTGCTTTCTGGAAACCAGTCTTTTGTGTTTTGCAATGCTGCAGTGTGAAAAATATATCCACATCATGGGTCAATGGCTATTTTCAACATATCTAGCATCAATGTTATGAAATATGAATTATGCAATATAATTCTTGGATTTGACATAGCATCTATAACATCAAAATTATGTAAATCACATGGCAGATAACTGCTGTTGAGCATAGTGACTGTAGATTAGTAGCCAAAATATCAAGCAATCTGCATACAACAAACGGCAAAGGCAGGAACAGTGTCATAAACAGGTAGACAGGATTGGAGTATAACATTTCACCTGAAAGACAGCACCTCTCACCATGCAGCGCTCTTCTAATACTGCATTAGAATGTGGGTCTCGTCTCTGAAGCTCAAAGGCTTAATTTGGAGCTTTGAACCCAGAGGCGCGAGTGTTATTAACTGAGCCAAGACAATTGAAGACATTAGTCAGCAGCCCTTACAGGCTGTTTCAATCCCTTTTTTCCAAGCCAGCTACTCTCNTTTTTTTCTCCAATTTAAGAAAGGTCAAGAGTTTTTCTGTTTTCCACAAATAACATTATAAGCCCTTTTTTTGGTTGCACCATGTTCCAGTAATCAATGAAATGGGTTTCCAAATCTTTAGATGTGAACCGGTTGACTGCATTGAACAGTAGAGTTGTTAGGAAGATTCAAAGGTTATGGACTGCTTTTTTAAAAAAATGTTTACTGAAGAATTCTTACCACAATAATCAAATTGCTGTGCAGGCTGGTGCTTTCAGCACAGTGCCTCAGGTAATCCACTGGCTCTCTGCTTCTCAGCATTCACAGACATTTGAGAGGGCTCTAAGTGTCTCATTTTTATAATTTATTTTCAATGTCAGTGGCACGCTTAAGAAATATAATCTTTATATCCCATTGTTGTTCAACTGGAACAGGTTTTGTTTCCATTCACAGGATATGTCGCCTTGGAAGTTCCAGGATGTGCTGCTGTCCGCCCATCAATAGTTTGTTCCATTCTGTGCTCTTGGTCTATTTTTTTCTATCCAAACATTTGGTGAACAAGATCATTGTCTGCACACAAACTGAGTCTCCAACTATTGTCTTTTTTTTAAAAAACTCCAACCTTGTTGACCATAAACTGTAAGGAAACAGGTTCGACTCCTATCTGCTACAGCATTAGCACCTTCAGTGGTACTCACTTATTCCAGTATTGGTTTATCCTGTACTCCTGAATAGTCAACCGTGCAGAATACTAGAGATAACACAAAATATATAGTCAATTCACTTTACAGTATATTCTGTGAAGCGCTTTGAGATGTCTCAATGGCATGATAAGACACTATATCAAATGCAAGAATTATTATAAAGTCTTGGAGCGCAGACTCTGTTACATAACACAGAATTAAAATATGAAAATGGGATGCTTGCTGATTATGGTATTATTGCAACACATGTTAACAGTCTTGTCAGTCGGAATTGTCAATTATTAATGCAACAGAAGATATTCTCAAAACATCTCTCATTTTTATTACAATGAAAAATGTAAGTAAATGAAGACGACTGGATATAGACTGCCGATGAACTGCAATAAGTGAACATAAAACTATTTGGAAAATAATATAGAAACATACTGTATAAACACGAGTTTTCATAACAATCTAACAATGTTAAAATCAGAGGAGATAACACAAATTTGTTTTTTTAAGGCTTGGACTATCAATAAAATTGTATCGAGTTATTTCCTTGCAATATCCACTGTGGTCTCCAGTTTTTTCCTCAGGGTTTCTTCAAACTTTCCTGAACTAAACTGTAACCAGATTTCACTTCACTCAATTAAAATTTTGATTTAAAACCTAGAAAATGCACAAACATTCCAACACAGAAAACTTCTAAATGTGGAATTATATACATTTAAAAATCATCTCAGCTCCACAAACTGTAACCGTAAACAGATCACAAAGATCTCTCCTAATGACGCATTGCTAATAATCAGGCATCACTTGGAATGCCTTTAGTCTTCAAATCTTCTTATGCTTCTGTCTGGCTAAGCTCATAGCACTCCCTTCTCTGAGTCAGAAGGTTGTGGGTTCAATCACTACATCAGGACTTCAAGCTCATAGTCTGGACACTCCATTGCAATACTGGAGGAACACTGTCCTTTGGATGAGACTTTGAACTGAGGTCCAATCTGCCTGCTCAGGTGGACATGAAAGATCCCATAGCACTGTTCAAAGAGAAAGGAGTTTTTCCTTGATGTCGTGGTTAACGGTCCCTCAAATAAAATTGATGATTCACTTAATGACTACACACTTTCCTGAATTAAATTGTAGCCAGATTTCACTTCACTCTATTCAAATTTTGATTTAACTCTTAGAAAGGAACTAAATAAATGCACAATCATTCCAACACAGAAAAGTTCTATATGTCGAATTATATATATTTTTAAAAAAACATAGCAGCTCCACAAACTGTACAAGTGGACAGATCACATGGACCTGTTGTGGGAAAATTGTTGTCACATTTGCCTACCAAATACAGTCACAGCACTTCACTATAGAACTCCATTCAGGAGTTCTTACAATGCTCTTTTCCTACTTCACGATCCACCTCAAGACCTTCCTCTTTTGACAGCAGATTTGAACATCTCCCCCACCCCCAGGCTCCCACCAACAGCTTGTGTACCTGACATGAAAGGCGCTATATCAATGTAAACTTGTTATTTACAATAAATTCTGTATAGTGCCTTGCGATGCCCTCCTGATAGGAAAGGCTCTGTATCAAATGCAAGGATTATTATTGTTCTCTACACACCCCACATATCAGGCGTTTTAAAATATGCTTAGCTCAACCGTTGGTTAGAAATTACAGTCCGCAGTGTTCTCACTTCAGGTCCAAAACTCAAAATCTAATTTAGAGTGGAGTTATGAGCTAAAAACTTCTACTTCTCTCTGATATCTGCAAGCTTTCTACATAAATAAGAATCTAAGTTTTTGAATGCCTGCAAGAAGTTGTCAATAACTGGTAATCCCACTCAGAAGGGCACAATGCTGACATGTGTGGAAAACAGAAAAATTGAAACTGTTGGAAATGGGATTTATTGGCAGAGCTGTGGGTGCTCTGGCAGAATGAAACAGGGCATTCTTGCTAAAGGGATTGAAGTAACACAAATTACTTCTGTTCTCTGACCCATAAAGACTGTGGTATCTTTTTAAATCATAGTAATTACAAATCTCATTCACTTAGTTTGGAAGAGTGCACTGCTGGCCTTTTAACCCTCTCTCACTCATGTTGTAATTTTCCACCAGATTGCAATTAGTAGCCCCAAGACACACACGACTGTTGAGATCAGAGTAAACAAACCAATAAGGTTGATTCACTAACCAGCTTTTATACTTCAGTGCATTTTACGAAAATTCAGTTGTATACCTGTATCCTGCACTCCTTCAATTCCAGTCTTCAGCTCATTCCTTACTCCCTCCTTCTCACCACCGAGTACCACACTTTCAATTATTATGAACTCATAAGACCCTTTTAATCTCTCCCCGCATACAAAAACAATATTTGGACATTAATTAATCAGCACCTTAAATACTCCTGCCTCTCCTCCCCATCATCTCAGCAAATCATTGAGATATTCATGTTTTGTTCCATTATATTCCCCTATATAAATGAGGCTGAAGCACACTGTTTGGTGATGTGCTGAATTCAGCAATCTCTATTTTATTTATTTTAATACAAAGAACGCCTGTAAAATAAGACCGTGTTTTCATTAAAGTTATTGTGGTTGACTTAAGCTACTATGAGTAAGTTAAAAGAGCCATTCTGACACGGATTCAATAAATGTTGCATTTTACAAGTTTATAAACATGACACAGACTAACATGCACGCGGTACATTCTATCCTACAGATTACTTCCCACTTATTTTCCAATATCAAAGCTGTTCAATCAACAGATAAGCCTTCAGATATTTAAAGGAAGACCTTTTGGCAGATACTGGACTCCCACACATAAGTCGTGGCTGACATTTGGACTCAACTTGCACAACCCTAAATGGCTGGAAAACATGTTTTATTGGAGGAACACTGTCCAACTTAATTGACAAATCTAGTGTTTAAATATACCGTTGCTGCTGTCTCCAAATTCTATCCTCCACATCAATGTGTCAGTAAAGCTAAACAGTAAAAAATAAATGCACAGATTAAAACAATAATAATCATTGCATCTCATACAGCACTATCAAACATGTCAAAGCACTTGACAGGATTGACCCTAGCCCATCTCTCTAACATTAAACGCCTTACAGCTAATCCATTTGACACATAGGAGAAAAAGTACTTAGGAATTGGTACAGTAAAATTAGATTTATACATCAGTTAAGGCATTCATTTTTAATCGAGACAAAGCTTGAAATCAAACCACCAGTAACTTAAACTGTTGCACTACATTTTTCATGGAAAGTTATTGAATAACCACTAAAAAAAAATCTGGCATAAAAGCCCAGCCAGCAAAGTTTTTTTAAAATCCAGTCTGTCTGCAAAGCCATTTTAGACAAGTTTGATTTATTCTGTGATCTGTTGCAATAAAGTACCATTGCTATATTTTTATAGGTTTAATAAAATACAATGAGTTAGAAGGTAAAGGCACTGGCCCACAACCCATACTAAACGTACTCATCGCTCCTTTGATTTCAATCACTGAGTCCTACAGCTCAGTGGTTAGAGCACTCGCCTTGCAAGCAAGACACCTGGGCTCAATTCCAGAAAGGGCGAAACCTTGGGCAAGTTTCCTTACTCCACACGCCTAATAATAATCCGTCCAAAAGAAAAAACAATAATAAATTGGTCATTTTCAATCCATGACTGTTTGTGGGATATTGCTGTGTGCAATTGGCTGCTGCCGTTTCGCCCACAAATATACGGGCAATTCACTTTACAGCATATTCTGTGAAGCGCTTTGAGACGTCTGGAAGATGTGAAAAGCGCTATATCAAATGCAAGGATTATTATTATTATTATAAATTCTATGGCCCAGGAGCTTGAAATAGTGAAGAACCACTATTTGGACAACATCTTATAGGCCACATGTTTAACTTGTATTGGAACTTGTATCCGGCTTCCGCGCTGCCCACAGCACAGAACCAGCCCTGGTCAAAGTCACTAATGATATTCTGAACATCTGTGATCAGGGCTCCCTCTGCCTCCTTGTCCTCCTCGACCTCTCTGCCGCCTTCGACACTGTCGACCACTCCATCCTCATACACCGCCTCTTCGCTTTACTCAATCTTCACGGACCTGCTCTTGCCTGGTTCGATTCCTATCTCTCTCACCGTCTCCACTTTGTTGCCTCTAACGGTTTCTCCTCCAGCCCCCACACTGTCACATCTGGTGTCTCCCAGGGCTCTGTCCTTGGCCCTCTCCTCTTTAATATCTACATGCTCCCCCTTGGTGACATCATCCGCAGACATGGGGTCAACTCCCACATGTATGCAGATGACACCCAACTCTATCTTTCTGCCTCAACTGCTGTCCTGACAGACTGCCTGTCGGACATCAAGTCCTGGATGAGGACAAATTTCCTACAGTTGAATGTGAACAAGACTGAGGCCCTCCTGATTGGCTCGCGCCAGCGTCTCTGCACCTCAGGCTCTGGCAGCATCAACCTCCATGGTTGCACACTACAACTCACCAAGCCAGCCAGGAACCTAGGCATTTTGTTCGACCCTCAACTGTCTTTTCTCCCCCACATTCAAGCCATGACTCGCTCTGCCTTCCCTCACCTCCGTAACATCGCCTGACTTCGCCACTACCTCACCCCTCAGGCCACTGAAACTCTTGTTCATGCCTTCGTCACCTCCAGGCTCGACTCTGCAAATCGCAACTGCTTGTCGTCCATCCCAACTCCCCCCTCCACAGGCTGCAGATAATCCAGAACTCTGCAGCCCGTGTCCTCTCCCGCATCAAACTCCGTGACCCCATCTCCCCCATTCTCCCCCGACTCCATTGGCTCCCTATCCTTCAGAGGATCCAGTTCAAGATCCTGGTCCTCACATACAAAGCCCTCCATAGCCTCGCACCACTCTACCTCTGCGACCTCCTACCAACCTGCCCATTCCCTCCGCTCCGCCCGACCCACCCGCCCCACCATTGGCGGGAGAGCCTTCAGCCACTCTGCCCCCAACCACT